GGGAAAAAAAAGAAACTGTACAGCTTAAAAACATATAATATACACAGCCTTATTTAATTTTTTTCCTTTTAGGTTTTTGTTTTTTTGTTTATTTCTTTTACCCATTTTATGGCCTCAGTAAAGTCTACAGAGGGGTTAAATGCTTTATAGACAACAAGCTAAGCTCTAAATGTTATTTATCTACTCGTCATCCTCCTCTTCTTCATCATCGTCATCCTCCTCCTCATCATCATCTTCGTCATCATCGTCGTTAGCCTTGTCTGGCTTGGAAGGGGCTTTGGCTGCACCTCCTCCCACTTTGCCTTTGGAGCGATAGGCGGCGATGTCCTAAAAGGAAAATTCATTTTTTCAGAAAGGAAACTTATTCATATAGCAAATGTAGATAATACATCAATTGCTATTATGGTTGTTTTTCAGTAGGTTTATCATTACCAGCATGATGCTCATTAGTCGTGGCATCCTTTCTCACCTTCTCGTACTTCTCCTTCAGCTTGGCTGCCTTCTTCTCAAATGGCTGCTTATCCTCAGCACATGTTTTGTTCCACATCTCACCCAGTTTCTTGGCCACATCTCCAATGGACAGACCAGGGGTCTCTTCCTTCACCTTGGGTCGGAACTCGGAGCAGAAAATGAAGAAGGCAGACCTTTGGTGGAATGGAGTATTCAAAAAAATTATAAACTTTACATCCTTCACAAATGCTAATGCATCTTCATGAACAAGTGAGATGCTTACGGGGGTCTCTTAGGAGCATTGGGGTCCTTAAACCTCTTTTTCTTCTCGCCTTTGGGTGGAATGTAGTTTTTCATCTCCCTCTCGTAACGGACCTTGTCTTGTTTGGCCATATCTTCAAACTTCCCTTTTTCCTTGGCTGACATAGTCTGAGGAAGGGAAGAAAAAAAATAATTGTTGGGAAAAGAGGGAAAGGGCATTAACACAATGTAAACGAAAGGTGTGACTGACCTTCCATCGCTCGGAGCACTTTTTGGAAAACTCAGAGAAGTTGACCGTGGCCTCGGGGTGTTTCTTCTTATGCTCCTCTCGACAGGTCTGGACAAAGTATGCGTAAGAGGACATTTTGCCTCTTGGTTTTGTTGGATCCTTCCCCATCTTTGCCTAAATATCCTGAAATTTATTAAGAAAATCCATCATTAAATTAATTTTCATTCAATTCTACTTCCCAAATATAGTATTTAAATTTGTTGCTTATACTATTTTCTTTTGGCATTATAACAAACGCCAACGCTATCTTTTAACTAATTATTTACTCTAATAATAGTTATTTGCGAGGCGCGCATTTGCGCGTAGTTTTTCTTTGCGACGAATTTGACGTTTTATTATGTAAACATGACACGACAAATTACTTTCCATAATAGTGCTTTTTAAAATAAAACGTCTTGCATGCACTTATGAAACATTAAAAAAGTTGTTTTAAATACTTAAACTTTCCAAAACCCTATTTTTTCTAAGTTAAAAATTGTTAAAAATGTAAAAAAATAAGCTGGTTAATTAAAGTTATTTTATGGGCCAAAGTACGCGCGAAATCCAAAACTCGTAAAATTTCTTAATAATCGAGTTCTCCGTTGAAAAGAGCCCGTTTCTCTCTATGTACCGTTCAAATAGCAATGGCGCACACTCTCGTCTCGCTGAAGGAAAGGAGGTCAACAACGACGGCAATATTTCTTCTTCCATTTTGTGAGAAAGCCTTCTTCATGAAAGAAAGTCCCCCTAAAATGTCTCCACCCGCCTTCCTGCTCGCTTTTGGACACGACAAACAAACGGCGCGGTCGGTTTTCCTGACCGAAAATTGTTTCCTTCGCAAAAAGCCCAGTGCATTCGCCTGGTGTATAGTAATACATTGGGTCTGTGCTGTGCAGAGTTTGCTGTGGGCTCGCAATGGCCGCTTGTCTTCATGCACTAACACTGAGAATATGGCTCCTTCTCTTTGTGTCAGCGCTCAGCCATTACACTGCTTTGCAATAAGGGGGAGCCGCGCGACCGCATTACCTCACTTCAACTCTCAATTTAACATCCTTCTCACGCACGGAAAAATATCAAAATACGCGGGTTGTAACGACGAAAGATGGATTTTTTATTTTCCGCCTCGAAAAACGCGTACTTTGAGTTCGGCGGGGTAGAAAACACGATTTGAAAAAGTTGAAGCGAACTGCGCCTGTCTATGGCTCTGTGGATTTGCCTTGTTTCCTATGCGAGTACAGTCAGCCATTACAGTAAAGCGCAGCTCCTGAGGTAATTTTTTTTCGCCCGTATCTCTGTCACTTCAATATCACCAAGCGTATAAATCCACACACATAACAATGGCGTTGTGCTTTAATTTTTTCGTTAGTCTGTTTTTTTTCTTTCTTATAATTTCTCATAGTTCTTCTGACAGACATCCCTTGTAAAGCGCTGCAATGGCTGCTTGCTGGCACTATCACCGTCCATAGACCTTGTTTGTACGCAATTCTGTTACCTAGTTGTCCGCTTAACGTTACATTTCGAATAGGCTGAATAAATTAATTTTTTCACATTTTCAGTATTTCAACCCCTCGAATAAAACCGACTATTTTCCGTGTAATTTTAAGGCGTACATCAAGACAAATGAAATATAAAAGCTAAGGTTATTCTCATTTTCATTCTGAGGGGATAATACTCTCATTTTTAACGTTTCACAAAAAATCTCCCCGCCATTAAAATAGCTCTTTTACAAGCTACATTTCAATTCCGTATGGTTTCCTGACCTTTTCTCGCAATTTTTGTACTTACCCCACACTTTGAAATGTCTACAAGCTGACACTTACCGCTGTCTTGTCTGGATAGTGAATGTACTGCAATGGCTGTATGTGGATGTAATAGCTATACGCAGTAGTCTGCTCTCTCAACCCTCTAGCATTACTCTCAATAGGGCTTCCATGCCATTGGCTGTTTTCACGACGAACACTCCTGCGATTGGCTGAGCGCTTTCCATTGTCCTAATAACAGCCGGCCTGCGATTGGCTGCCTTTTGTGAAACGTCACGAGTGTTTTAAATGGCGGGTTAATACAAAATACGGAATGTATGTGTGTGTTTCTTGTCTCAGTTTAAAGCAAAGGCTGTGTGTACTGTGTTGGCTGTAGTAGTACTGTGTTCTATGTGTTCCACGCGGAGTGCTGAATGAATGAGTGAGTCCATGTGGAGCGTCGGCGTTGCTGTGAAGTGCGAAACGCTGAATGAAAGAGTGCTGGGTCCGACTGACGCCCCGCTTAGATCAAACACTATATGAACCTCCAAGTCAGATTTTAACCAAAATATGCAATTATGAGCAATATTTATTAAAGTGGCTTAATCGGTGGGATTGGTTTTTGAGTATGAAATGTTGATTAATGACAAAGTTTCGAGATGATCCGATGTAACAACGTCAAATGAGCTTTTCTGCAGATTGTTAGTGAGTGCTTGATTTGAATAATTAAATGGCAGGACCCCCGCACAACTAAAGGTTTTTGTATTCTGGGTGTTAAAATTAGCTCTCTCAAAACATTAATCTCGATATCATAGCATTTAGATTAGTCCGTCCACTGATAGATTTACTTAAATTGTATAATTACAGTAGTAATTTTAGCAGATAAATATATAGATAGTATGGACTGGAATTAAAGAAAAGCAATGGTGCACAATAATTCTTATTATTTTGCTCTTGATGTTTTTTCAATATCTATCTATCTATCTATCTCAAGAACCGGAGCCTATGAATGTTAATGACTAAATCTTGGGAAAAAATTATGCAAATTCGTATTGTGTGGGGACGGGGGGCAGCAGATAAAGCGCTGAGGGAGCCTGATGGGAAATCGATGCCCATATAGCCTTCTATTGTTTCAGAAGAGAGCAGCTGTAGCTCCCTACGACTCCTCAATACAGGCGCTTCGCCGCTCGAGCACATGCTCACAGACGCAGGGCATATGCTTTTTTTTTTACAGTCTATGGGCATATGCTGTACTGAGCACACAGTACTTCAAAATGTATTATCGATTAGATATGCTTTATACGGCCATGTTTATTGCTGATCTAATATATTTACTTTTTTGGGTACAGTTTTTTCATATCGGGATTTATGTGGCATGTATAGGCTGCGTTTGTTTAAATATCACAATTTAAAAAAGTGTAACAGAAAAAAAGTGTTACGTGTAACTTTGGTTAGGACAGAAAAAAGGCGAGCGGTCAGACAGACCACAGTAAATAGAAATCTAATGACTCCTGGTCGGTTTTATTCAATCGACGTGAGAATAAAAACTATTACCATACATGTAGTAGCCTATTTTAAATAAAATAAAACAAAAAGTTAATTTACCAAATAGTTCATAGGTATTATCAAGGAAATGGAAGTACATATACATATGCTATTTATGATGGATTATGTAACACCCCAGTTTAGGATATAAAACGTTTACTTTTCCTTATTCTGCCTAGTTTTGACTTTAAATTGAACAGAACAACATATGCTGTATAATCAGATATCCATGACCTTACTTTATTTTGAAACTCCATCTTTATTTCAATTACGAAAACTGAACTGCTAAAGCTTTTGAAAATTAATTTAGACATTTTCCTATCTACTATTTTCCTATACTAGCCTACTGTATTATTACTCTCTCCGTGCGTTTGCATATTTATACTCGTGCAAATACAAAGTTTGAGAGAGATTGTGGGTAGCAATATATTAAATTATTAAATGAATTTTAAAATCGAAATCGCGTTATTTAGACCATATACACATTTAGAATTCTAAATAATTTCTATCTCATTTAACACGTTTCTGCCTGTCCATTTGTGTGTATCTACTGTTAATTATAGTTTAGACTTGAGTGTTTTGATGGTGTTGATTCAATCCCTGCTGTCTGTTGCCTAATTTAATTTCAGACAGTATATGTTCAGTCGTTCGGCAATACACGCAGACAATCCGGATGATGGCGCTCTTGTGCTGTAAATTAATCTTTGTAAAAACTTTATTGCTTGCGCCAACGAAACCGGAAGTAGTACGTTGAGCGTACGACGGACAGCATGCACATGGAAATGTCTCCTACCGGCGTGCTGGAATTACCTAATGAGTGTATAATATCCAGTTTGGAATTTCTCCACATTCGATCCGGTTTCGAGGTATGTGTTGGTGCAGACGATGTGCACCTGGGAAATCGGTTGTGAATGCAATTTTTAAGGTTTTTGGGCGCTTGTCTTCCAGTCCGCTCACTGTTGCTGTGGCTGTTCGCGCCTGATCGTGGTCAACAAAGAAATAAATCTAAATATCTAACTGCTTTATATGTTTGTTTTTTTTTACATAACGGGTCACTTTCAGCAGTTATCAATAGCGCCTTGTAAATTTAACATAGCAGCTAACGTTATGTATATCCAAAACTCACTTGTCAGTAAGAAAACAGTGTTTGCGAAGCAGAACCTGTTGGTATTCCTTTAGCATTCAGGTTAAGGTATGTTTTACTTCTTCCATTGTTTTAAAGAGTTTAACAGAGACTCTTTATTTTCCATATAATTTCTGATTTTGGTGTTTATTCGACTTTTTAAGAAACTATTGACAATGTTTAATATTATGTGAAGTTTACTTCGGTTTATGGGATGTTTAGCATTCAAGACCTAATCGTAAGCAATGGTGCATTTGCATACTAAATTGGATTAGTCTGCTGTCTCACGTATATTTGCCTACTGAAACTAAACTAAGCCAAAACTGTTCTCTTACTGACTTCCAAGCACTAGTATGGGAATGCGAATCTACTAGTTTGAGATGTTTGCTTTGTGTGTATCAGCCCGGAATGGGTCAGTTGATGTCTCAGAAATGAATTGTTCTTTCTCACTGCAGCGCGTTCAGGCGGTGAGCCAGGTGTCACGGTTATGTCAAGTTTATGGCAGCAGGACTCGACAAAGAACGGAAACCTCAGTGGCATGAGAATGAACGGCGAAGACACTGGTATAGGGGCTCCGACCCCAGCGTTGGCGGGGTATTTGGGAAAAGTCAGTTATGCTCAGTTCTCTCCCTCTGTCACTCGTGCAAAGCTCCGCTCAAATTTAGTTTGTATTGTATGGAAATTGAATCGAATTGATCCCCCACCTCAAACGAGAAAAAACACACGGAAATCTGTGTAAAAGGCGAAAGAATAGTCATAAAAGCACTTCAGTTGTGTACTGTACACTGATTGTTTATAGTTGTGTAATGGGTCTTGTATTTTCTGTGTTGAGTAATTGTGATTTCTCATATATTGTTGTTTGTTTACAGTGTGAAGACAGAAATGCCTCACCAGGGAACTGTCCTTGGTGTTTGGCAAAAGGTCAGAAAAATGCCCTCTGCTTTTATGCTGTCAACCTGGAGGAGACTGTTATGCTATGTACAAATCCAGTGGTGAGTAGTCTGTTGTTTTTTCCTTGTTTGTCAGGAAATGCTGACACTTCAATGAATAGCCGAATGAATCTCACAACCTGTCAATAATATATCTGGGTCACTTTACTCTAAAACAAAAATAACAAACTAATATTTGTCTTGCATAAAGAAAGTATGGCCTAGTTTTGGGCCCATTAATAATTTTTGCATTGTGAAACACAATGATTTAAAAAAAAAAATCATGCATTCAAAAAATAAATAAATTGTATTATTTTCTCAGTAAGGTGAAAGGTTTGTATGTATTTTTATTTATGCTGATATTAGTTCAGAAAGAAAAAAAGGTGCAATAAAGTGATAAATCTAATAAGAATTACTATTAGAGATTGTGTGAATTACACACACCAAAAATTATTGTATAAAGAAAATAGGGCCTAATTTTGGTTTTAAAAAATATAAATACATAAATTAAATGATACTTTCTCAGTAAGGTAGTGTTTTTTTTAATCTATTTATTAATGCTGATTTTAGTTTAGAAAGAAAAGGTTGCAATATGGTTGGGAGTATCTAATAATAATCACCATTGAAAATAATAATGAATTAATAAAATCAAAGGTGAAACACCTGTGCACATTCCAGTTAAAATGTAATTTAAAAAAAAGGGCAAATGAGCTTAATTTGTCATGAAAATAATTTGATTACATTAATTATCTTTTTAGGAGGAAGTTGCAAATGTTCGCAAAAAATATCCATCCTAAAATTAGGCTTTATTTTCTTACTGCAAAACATAGTTTGTCCTTTTGATTTTGGGGTGAGATACAAGCTAAACACGTTTGTGACATGTTTTGTGAGATTCACTCATTCATTGTTTTTAAGCTATCAATATTGGTAAAATTATATTTGTCATAGTATTAAATGCTTGTGACTCTTTGTAAAGAAGATTGATTGGCTATTGAGATTGTCGTGTGTTTTTCTGTTGCTTTGCAGTGCCTTTACCCATTGGTTAGTAGATCTCTGGAAGATGTGCGTGCTAGCTTGTCTAAAGATGGATGTAAGAGGAACATTTCTTCCCTATCCGATGTGGATGAAGCATCCTCCCCTTCAAAGCGATCAAGAGAGGAGAAACTAGGCATTTTGTCTGTTGTGCCTGAGCCATGTTGTGCTGATGTCAATGATGGCACTCTTCCAGATGACACTGTCGAGACGCAAATGTTTACTGATGAACAATCAATGCTTGGAAAGACTGACTCTATTAATGGCACTGAGGAACAACATCCTGAAGATCTACCTGCTGCTGTCGCCCATGAAGATTTAGATTTGTGTGACAAGAAGGATGATTGTGTATCTAGTACTCAAGATGAGGTCGAGGAGATCGTTGGAATGGATGTAGATGTGGAATCATCAGAGCTGGTTCCTGTGCAACCTCATCTCTTCTGGAAAAATGAGGACAACCTGTGTTGGTTGGATTCGTTATTGGCGATGCTCGTGAACTGCCGGACCATCAGAGAGACTCCGTGTCAGAATGTAAAGCTGACTGACAAGTTGACATCAGTGCCTTCCAGCAGCTCTGCTGTCTGGAACCTTTGCTCCACATATGATAAGACCTGCTCCTATCTGAAATCCAAGGAGCAACAGTGTGAAGGTAAGAGAAAGCAAACCCTTCCAGGGCTCGAAATTTTTTTTATTAGTGTTTATTTTATTAGTATTTTGTTTATTTATGCTAGATTAATTGTAAGTCATTTACAAAGTAAACTTATATTATTATTTGTTGATATAGATAACAATTATAAATTGTTTAAATATTAATACAGAATTAAACTTTCAAATATTTAAAATATGTATTATTTTTAGAACAATGTATTATAAAAGTAATTTATAAAGTAAATAGTAATATTATTTATGTATTCATATTTAATACAGTACCATTTAAAATTATAAATAATTTTTTTATATTTTGTTAACATTGATTTAAGTTAAGTACAAAAAATTACAAACATACAATATTTAATATTCCTTTTAACTGTGTGCATATTTAAGTAAATGAAAATCATTTATAAGTTACAATTATTTGTAATTATGTATTCATATGTGATTTGATTGTAAGTTATTTAGCTTTCAATTATTTGTGTTTATATATAGTAAGACTAGTGTTGTCACGGTACCAAAATTTCAGTATTCGGTACCAATACCAGTGAAAATCCACGGTTCTCGGTACCAACGCAAGCTATTTAACTAACTTTAACTTAAAGTATTTATTCATATATATTAACACACTATAAATGTAATTTTATAACATTATAAATTGATCAAATTAATTTCATAATATACAATAGTCAACATTTGAAGTGGATCAAAAAAGTTAAAAGTTGTCCTAAGACACTTTGATGAAAGGTTTTGATCCACTTCAAATGTTGACTAGTGCAGTATAAAGGCATTTAAACTTATTACACAGTTGAAGGTATTTATATTATTAATAATTATGTATGTATACATATGTTAAAACAATATTTTAAACAGAAACTGATGCAACTTTTTTTATAAATTTACCTCATCCCAAAAATACACTTTTATGAAGAGGTCTGCATTCACATGCTGGAGAGCTTACCTGTTTTTTGTTCTGCAGATGAGGACACCAGAGTGCCCGCCGATGTCCTGTGTGAGGCAGAGCGGCAGCTGTCTGCGCTCCGTCTGTCACTCTTCAAACTCCTTCAGCCTACACTCAAGTGTGAAATTGGTAAAATGGTTCAACAGCTAATCATAAAACCATTTGATCTCAATCTGTTGCTTGTCATTTGTGTTGAGTGATAATCTTGTCTGTCATACAGGTCAGCAGGAAACACCCGTGTTTGCTCTCCCTCTTCTTCTGCGTTCAGACAAGTGGGCTCAAGAGCTTTTCCAGCACACTGTCCGTTGGGAATTTAAGTGCACTTCTTGTAGTTATACTTTAAATAACAGGTAAAGGTTTTAGCCATGTAATTTGAAATCATTTGTATTTGATAATTAAATCAAATACGTGGTAATAGTGTAGGTAATTGGATGCAACACAACCCTCTTCTTGTCTTGCAGTGTTGAGAAGACTCTTACAACATTCACTCAGATTCTGAATGACTGGCACCCACTAAAAGCCATCCACCGCACTCAGTGCAGTAACTGCAACCGTAAAAACCAGAGGAGGAAAATGGTGCTTGAAAAGTAAGAGTTGGAATAGCTATACATTTCCTTTTTTTCCTTACCACCCTGTTTCATCACAATTTAACCTGTTGGTCTTTGCGGTTGGTTGATTGTCTTTGATCATTTTTTTGCAGGCTGTCCTCTGTGTTTGCACTGCACTTTGTGGAGGGCTTGTCCAGGAAAGACCTCTCTAAATACTCGTTTGAGTTCCAGGGCGCACACTACAATGTTAGCACTGTTATCCAGTACAATAAGCATCTAATGCACTTTGCCACTTGGATCCGCCAGAGCAATGGTGAGTCTTTTATTCTGTGAGTTCATTAGCTGATCTATTCACACTACCATTCGAAAGTTTAGAGTTTTTTCCCTTACTTTTATTCAGCAAGGATACATTAAATTGATCAAAAGTGACCGTAAAGGCTTTTATAATGTTAGAAAAGATTTCTATTTCAATTAGTTGCTGTTCTGTTAAAACATTAAGCACAGTTTCCACAAAATTATTAAGCAGCAAAACAATAATAATATGAGGAAATGTTTCTTGAGCAGAAAATCAGCATATTAGAATGATTTCTGAAGTCATGTGGCACTGAAGACTGGAGTAATGATGCTGAAAATTCAGCTTTGCCATCAAAGGAATAAATTGCATTTTAAAATATATTGATTAAATTGTGAAATGTATTTAAAAAATTTTTTTAAATGTATAAAATTTACATTTACATTTTTTTTTAAATATTGGTTACACTTTATTTTAAGGTGTCCTTGTTACAGTGTAATACATTTAAGTACTGAATAATAATAATTAACTACATGTACTTACAATATGGTTTGGCTTAGGGTTACTTGCATGTAATTATGCATAATTCATTGTTATTATAATAGTAAGTACATGTAACGTGTAACAAGGACACGTTAAAATGCAGTCTTCTTTCAGAAACATAAAATTCTTATTTAACCCAAGCTTTTGAATGGTAGTGTATGTAGTTGTTCTTCTTCTGAATCCCGTTAGCCAATGATTAATTTGAATTTAGTTTATTGTTGCTAAAAACAACACATTTGTTCCGCTTAAGGTATGTTTCCGCATTGTTTTACTTGCATGCTACCAAAAATAAGCAAAGACACCATGAATTATCGACTAAAAATGATCAGCTGTTATTAAATAACTAGTAAAATTAGCTGTAAATTTATCTCAGACTAGTTGCTCTGTAAAATATAATGTTAATTATTCAAATTTAAACTTAATAGTGGTTCATTTACATGTTTGTGTTCTGTCTTTTAGGGTCATGGCTGGAACTGGATGATTTGAAATACCCTCACAGCATCATCCACAAGAGGTTTTCATTTCCTGCCAATGAATTTCATGTTGTTTTCTGGGAATCAGACTCCACTAAAGATGAAGCTTCAGAGGTTTGCTCACCGACAGCTCCCTCGGCACTTACGAATGTCGATGATAAACACACGCACGAACTGTCAGACTCTGTGGCCGATGACACGTGTGTCCTCGGCGTGCTCACCGTGGGAGACTCGACTGCCGCCGGCGCTCTGGATACATCCATAGGCAGCACCACATTACTGGACACCTTTGAGGGTCTGTCACATACAGACATTGTGACCCTCACTCTGGTTGATGAGAACAAAGCCACTGAGGATCTTCAGATTCCCCAGAGCCCAGCCGTCGTGCCGGCCGCTCTCCTCACTCTTCCTGTAGCATCTAGTTCATCTTGTATCTCTAAGTCCATTTGTCAACCTTCAAAACCCCAAAGCTCTGGTTTGAAGGAATGCTCTTCGGTTTCTAATCCAGTTGAGCTGAGAACGTCAGTGGCTACACCAGTACATGCACCTCCACCGCTTGCGTCCTCATTACTTCAGTGCCATCCTTCCTTCCAGTCGACACCAATAAGACTTCCTCCTCCCGCTCCGAAACCAAAACCCGTTCTGAAATGTGACAACGAAGCTCTGCTAGCAAAGCCAGCTGACATGTTCGGTGGCTTCTTATTAAACAAGAAACTGCTAAATTCAAGTGGCGGGAATTCTGCGGTAGCGCCTCAGCACAAACCAGTCACCCTTCCTGGTGGCATATGTGGTGCATCTATTAAGAAATATCCCAGCCTTTCGGCAGACCAGCAGCCCATTAGCACTACAGAAGCCCTCAGGCTGAAGCTACTGAAAAAACTTAAGGCTAAGAAGAAGAAACTGGCCAAACTAAACCAGCTTTTGAGAAGTGCAGGAGAATCTGCACCAAAACCGGACAGCACAGCCCTCTCGTCGCCTTACTCGGTCACCTCGAGTACGTCAGTGTACGACAGCCCGGCGTATGACCAGTTCTTCGCTGAGCTTTTGTCTCCTGCGACGACCGTCCGTAACCTCTCACCTGACAGCACGGGGCTCCTTGAGATGTTGAACAATGGCCAGAATGCGGAGACGACACAGCAAATTCCTTCTGTAGCAACTGTGGTTCCAGAAGCAGCTTTAACCTACCCTTCTTCTACTAATGACTCCGGATTGAATCTTGATGAATACATGCAATCAGGGATGGGCCAGACTGCAATTGACAACACCGATTTTAATGGCTTGGATATATTTTTCTGATCAAGAAAAGCTTTTAGATTTTACAAACCGTGAGTTTGGTCTGGTGTCAGAACAAGTTCTCTTTGTAGTTTCGTATTGGGAATGCAAGACTTTTGTTAGGAAAGCCTGTGGTGCATCATCAGTTAAATCATATTTTCATATTTGTCTCATATCCTTGAAGAATAAAGAACATTAAATGGTGCAGAGTACGCAATGTTTGAAGATCAAATTATGCCCAATGCATTTGTAAAGGTTTGTACAGCATTGTACAGTTGTTTAATAATTTTTGTTGTTGTGTTTTTTTTTTTATGGTTATTACTGGATTTAAAGCGGTTTATATTAAATGGTCCCAAAAATTGAATATGTTGTGGTTATTGGCTTTTAATTGTGCATGTGAGTGAAGAGTAAAAGCCTCACTTTCACACTGATTGTATATGGGGTTCCTACACTTTTTCGGATAGAACTAGCAGTTTCTAACCAATAAAATATTTGCATTACCTGCAGTTATGTTTACCATAGACTACATTTATTTCATCAAATATATAGTAAAATCAATAATATTGTGAAACAGTACTATCTGAACAGCATTTATTTGTAATAGAAATCTTAAACATTGTTAACTTTGATCAATTTAATGCATCCTTTATCCTTTACTGAATAAAGGTTAATAAAAAATAAAAAAAATGAATGACCCAAATCTTTTAACAATAGGGTAAATGGAAAAAATATATTTATCAGCAATTACAAAGACATTTCCATTATTTATTTTTCTGGACATTTCCCCAGTTTTCCATGATCTGTATATCGTAAACAACTATATATATTGCACTTAATTTCATGATCACATTACCATTGAGAGTATGCCAATATTAGAAATGTGTTCATATTTTAATTGAATGTCTCCTCCTTTGGTGCAGTAGTGCTTTTTGCTTACAGTCCAGCATTTGCTGCAAAATATTAATACTGTCGGACCAAGAGCATCTATTGCCTCATTAAAAATAAAATAATCATTATGATCATTAGTACAATATTCAAGTGACCGAAACCAAGAGTCCATTTTTAATTGGACATGGAAAATGTGAATGCAAAGAGCTTCACTTTGTTCATTTTTTGGTCCACTTAAAAAGGTCTGAGTTTGGTTATTTTAAAGAGTGTGAAAACAAGCAGTGCCCAAAAAAGTTTAGACACTTAAGCCTCAAATGAAAATGTAAATGTATTATCTTTGTAACAAAGTATCAAAACAAATGCTGTTTGTTTTAAAGAAATACTAGCAGAAGCACACTGTTCAATTAAAGGCAGGGTATGTGATTTTTCAAAAACACTTCAGAAAAGCGGAGCTATCAAAATAGGGGCAAGACCCTTTTGGGGTAGGGGCGTGTTTGTTTTGGTGATTTCAAATATCAACATTGGCTACCAGAAATCGCTTACTCTGCCTTTAAAACGCCTTGCAAAATTAAATTTGTTAGGTATCGAATTAGATAAATTGTTAAAACGAAGATAAATGTCTTGGTTACTTTCTGGTTGTCAAACTTTGCAGAAATGTTGCATGTTTATTATTAAGATGAGGAACAATGATGGTTATTCTGTTGGGACATCGGTGTATATTTGAGGAAAACTTGCCTCATAGATCTACAAAAAAAATGACAGAGCAGTTGGTTAAAAATAAGTATCTCAAAATTAAGTTGTGAAAAAAGCTCCATCATAATTTGCATATTGTTTGATGTCATATTTTTTTATCTAATGCAATAAAATTCTGACATCTTACAGTGTTGCTTAAAGTTAGAGTCAACGTACTGTCTGCTAATTTATTCAACATATAATATATTGACAGCTGTAATATCAGAGGTGAAGTTCATCTTTTCTGTTTGAGTTATAGCAGTCATTTTGACTAACATTAATATAGTTTCAAACCTGAAACGGCACAGCAACAATATATCAACTAAATTACTTCAACAAGTTATAGGCCTATACAAAAACTGAATTTACCAGGCTTGGTTAACTACATTAAGTTTACTCTATATATTTAGTGTTTAAATAAAAAAGTGACGATACCATCTGGTCTGTTGGCTGGTTCAGAGCAGATGTCATCAGTCCTGATTAAGGCAGCCTCCTGAAAAAAGCACATTTGTAGTTGTTTCCCCAATTCGACAACATTTCAGTAGATTGAGACACTGTTAATGAGCTGTTGAGTTGATTCAGGTGTGTCATATTAAAGAGACACTCAAAATATGCAGTGTTTGGTGATATCCAGAACCAGGATTTAGAGTTGAAGACAAGCTGAAACCAGCTAAGACCTGCAAAACAGTTTCAGCCAATAGAGGGCAGTGTTTAACAGCGAAACAGACCGTCGGCTTCAAGTTCAGATGGACTTAATTTTGTCCTAAAATATCAACTGTTAGGACGAGGTGTGAAATGGATAATGTAGCTATACCAGGAACAAGTTTCCACACTCAGATATTTAGTTTCAAAAAGTACAAAATGTGCCACTGAAGCAGAAGTGATAATGTTCTACTGGCCCTCCCTTCAGGAAACGCATCAGTTTAGTGGTGATGTTATCTGTGATGCTAAAAATGATCAGACAACAGTCTGAGACAAGACCCGCAGTGCACACTTGAGAACATGTATGTAGCAGTGATGGACAACATTTTCTTGCTTGTGCTTGTCACTCTTCTCAGCGTCGTTCAGAATGGTATGACATTTAGACTTTATTACTATTATTTTTATTTTGTATAATTGAAAGATGTTCATGTAGAATGTGTATGCAAATCATCTTTGAACACATTGTGCTGTGTTTATACAACTACCAGGAATTAGTCCATAATGTAGCCTAAATATACATGCACATGCATTAAACTAATATGTCCAATCTTTAATATATTAACTTCTCCTCTAGTGTTCTTCGCCTTAAAGGTTGAGAAAGAGTGCACCGGTCAACATTCCAAAAATCATTCTGCAGCGTTTGAACGTTTGTCCTGTGCAAAGTGAGTAACATTGACTCAAGCTTCTCCACTCTAGAATTTGACTGAAAAATTAACTATTACTTTTAAGCGCCAAAAGAGCTTTTTATAGAGAGAGATAAATGATCTGTTTATGAAATAGTGTTGGTGTAGCTTTTTTTGCATAACAGCTCGACATTTTCCTGTTGTTCTTCCTGTTCTTTATTTACATAATCGTAATGTTGCAAAAGGGTTGCACTGGTCTTTCTGTCTGTATATTGAAAGCCTATAGCTGTACATTTAATTGGTCACTTATTTAAAGTTTCTCATAAAGTCTACATTAATGTAAATGGGCTAATTTGAAGTCAGTTATGAATGTGAATATAAGGGGGAAAAGGTAGAAAAATTATTCTAACGTTCAAAAACGTAGCTTGCATCTACTTCTAGTATCCTTATGTATTGCACAGTCAATTATATGATTTCCCCAAGAAAAAATTAGATCAGGTGGATGAGACCTGTATTTTAAAAATGTATTTATTTTTATTATTATTATTTTTCAAATAAACCAAACTGACAGCATTATTATCAGTTGCATATCTAGACTGTTGGATTCTGGTTTGGTAGTTTGTCTCAATTTAGATGCAATCATAAAGTGTCATTAACCACCACCAAAGAGGAACAGCTCTTTCACAATATTTCTAAAAGATACATGGAAGTACTACAAGAAGAACTGACAGCACGTCTTCAGTTTGGTCAAATGAAATACCAGAGTTAGCTGACAGAGTTAGTTTCTGAAGCTGTATGAAAAAGTTATCAGTTAATAAAATTATCTGCTTCATAATACGTTATGTATTTACTGTTTTTTCAGTCGAAACTGCATGGACACGTACCCCACATTTCTGGCAGTACTGTGGTGCGCTGGTATCTGCCTCAGCCAAGGTACAATTCAATTAATCATATTCCTCATTAAAAAAAAAATTCAGTCAAGTGATTGAGTTGAATGAGCACGTAATCAATATTTTTAGAAGTGAAAGTGCCTTTGTTATTTTCTGTGTTATTTTTAACGTTCACTACAATATAGTGATAGGATCAGACCAAAGAAAATACCCCTTTGTAACATAGTAGAAATGGTTTGCATTTCCTGGCTAATAATTTCTGTTATGACCCGTGTGCAAATATTTGTCTGCATAATAACTTTGCTCTATTTCTGAATACCCCTGAAATAGTAGGCTAATTGAGTTGCTAAGGAACCACCGCATATATAATGAAAGTCAGCCTTAATAAAATACCTCTGATATAATTTAAATAACAAAACCCTTTTTGTTGCAGCTCCAGCTGCCTTTGCTGGCATTATCTACCTTGTGGTCCGGCAGAAGTACTTTGTTGGCTACTTAGGGCAGACTTGCCAGAGGTAAGATTTTTAAATCCATAACTATGAACAAATAAGGCCTTTTAAACATCAAATATATGTTTTCTTGTGCTAAAGCTGCATTAGAGTCAACTGAAACATCTTCTGAGGTTCCTGACCTTAAAACTACATGAAACACAGACAAATGTGTGTTGTTCTGCATTCCAGCAGCATTAGATGTTGCCTAACGTTAATCTCAATACAAATAGGCTATTAGTCATTGAACTGTTGCAAATTTATGATATGGGCAGAACTTGCGTGATAAGATCACATTGTGGTTTCAGCCCTGGATGTTGCTTTATACAGACACATCAACCATGTGTTGTAACACACACCAGATTTGTTAACAGATATTCTGCTTGTATGCCTGACAGCACTCCTGGCTTCCTGTTCGGGAAACGCATTCTCTTCTTCCTGTCACTCATGTGTGTCGTGGGAATCATAAATCACCTGATGCTCACCTATGGAGGCAGTGACTACAAAGAGTACATCCAGACCATCACCAAAGTAGTGTCAACACTTCTGCTCTTGCCCTGAACTGTGCCAAACAGATTTTTCTGCAGCTGAAACGGTAGTGCAAACAGATCAGTGTAGATCAACTCTTTCGGTTAATGGTTTGTCAGTTAGTCAGAGGATGTGGCAAGAACAGTGTGAAGCGTTCACAGGGATGGTCACAAAGGCATTTAATTGCAGTATGATATGTACATATTACAAAGATTTAAAAAACAACAAAAGACGACCGTTTTTACTGTAACTATCCCAGTATATGGTATTTGAAGAAATGTTTTAAATGGGTCATATCATGCTTTAGTTTTCTCATTGAGGTCAACATGTAAGGTTTGTAAAGATTTGTCAAAAAAATGATCATTTCACACCTCTCTCTGAGCTTTAGATTTAATTGGTCAGTTTTTTGTTACTGTGCCTTTAAAAATGCCAAGTTCTGGTCAGGCACCGGATTGCAGGTTTCCTGTTGTGTGAAATATAGTTCAGCAAAATCCTCAGCCTCTTTGCAAAGTCTGCATTGCATGACAGGGTTACAAAATAATCAGTGATGAAATGTCAGACTGAAATTATCAGGGTATAACTGCACATAGGGCTGGACGATATGGCCAAAAAAGTATCACGATAAAATGTTCATATCAGTTGATAATGATAATTATCACGATAAATTTCAAATCGTGATGACCTCATATTTAAATGTTGAAAGGTAATTATTCTGACCGTTTTAGTTTTATTAAAATTAACCACCGATCATGATAACCACAGTTAAAACCACACATATAGCACCTCAATACTGTGGTATAAATGTATCTATATTGTTTCTAGTTATTTGCATAAAAAACAAGTCTAAATACATTTAGTATAAATGCACAAATGCTATAGCTTGATCACAAAAAATACTGTAATTATATTCCCTCACTCCGTTAATATATTTAATTCATGTCTTCATTAATATAATATAATTTCTTATTATTCCACATTTCTGCCACAATACCATGGTGCAGTTAGTGTTACTAGTAAATCCATGGTAAATGATGGCGATTTGTTCATTGAAAAGTCTTCTGACTGTATCGTTGCGCACAGTGTTTCTCCTGTTTGTCAACGCTGCTTCAGCTGGCTTTAAACTAGTTTAAATCACAGAGTCATTTGTGTTCTTCGCTGAATTCAAGCGCTTCACACTGGATCTCACAGCGCTGTTATCAGTGAGTGACTAAACGCATCTGCTCTAGTGAGCTCATGCTACGCTGCCAAGTAGCGCGGTTTTGTTCCGTTTTTGGTGCATAAACATTATATCGAACTCGTTATCGTTTTATCGAGGAGAATTACATCACGATAATTATCGTTATCGTTTTATCGCCCAGCCCTAACTGCACGTTTCTATTGATTCTCTGGAAGTATATGCAGAGCTGTAGGTGCTACACACAGCCAGAAACAGCACAAGAAATGTGTCAACTTAGAGCATAACGTGATGTTAGATAATATAATTATGTTTATTTGGCTTGATTTCAGTAATCCAAAAAGGTAACATTTTGATTCCTCGTGATATGACCTATTTAAAGCAATGAAGGTAACACATTCGGGCACTTTTGCATGGAGTGACCCTTTTAAAAAAAAAGTATTTTTACTATCTTGAGTTTGCTAGTTTACAATGTGAGGATTTATGAAATTGACCTGTCTGCTTCAACAGAATTATAATTAAGATTAAGTTCCAGTGATCTCCATTTCTTTATGATTTTTTTGTATTACTGCTGGCATGAGCAAAATAAAGTTTTATTTACAGTAAAACTGTCCTTTAAGGTGCATTAATGGTCTCCTCATCTGTGCAGGGCTTCAATTTCCACAGACTGAAGCCTGTTTTCAGTAGATATTTGGTGTTTCACACAACATTTTGGGTGTTGATCTCATCTTCCATGGTAAGAGACCTGCAAGATCAGATTTCCTGTCATAGTCACAATACTAGAAATCATCAGAGAGGTCTGCTTATTTATTAAAACACACCTTGAACTGTCGTTTGCTGCAGCCGAACCAGTAGGGAATGTCAAAAAGGGCGTCAGAACGGTACTTGATGGTGAAATGTGTGTCTTTCCAGATGGGTTTTACCTTTTCTACATCAACAAGGATTTGAAAGCTCTCACCGACCCATCCCTGTAGTGCAGCACTAACATCAACCTTAACACACACACACACAAAATCATTTACTTTTAATTCATTTTTTACATTTCCAGAAAAAGGCCACTAAACTTGTAAAATCATTAAAAAAAAAAAATATATATATATATATATATTCAGTTTTTACATTGCCAGAAACAGGACACTAAATTTGTACATCATACATCATTAAAAACAAAGTCTCTACTGAACTCACATCAACTATATAACTTTCTCCAGCAACAGATGAAATAGTCATGTCTAAGCCTCTCTCCATCTCCCATCTGATCATTGGATGACTGCCGTTGATCGCCACCACATAATACCCAAGAACTATGAAGTAATGAAGTACAATAATAAGAAGGCAAGGCGAGGCATTTGACTTTACAAATACAGTATACAGTGGTGTCAAAGTTTAATAATACCTTCCCTGTTGACATTGTAATACATAGCTACATTGCATTTCCTGTTTTGATTCATTTTTACAACTGTAGTGCTTACTAATATATCACTGATATTAGTAACATTACTAATAATCACCATAAATATCAGTTCAAGTCCATATTAAACACTATGTTAAATTATTTATTTACATTTCAGTCACATAGTTATGCCGATAATATCAAAAATAATTGTATTAATAAAAAATATATTTTATTTAAAAAGATTACAAAGTATATTACTGTAATTCTGCATTTTTTAAAATTAATTTTAGACCAAATGTTTTTGATTTTGTTCTTTTTTTGAACTTGATTTTGTTCTGAAAACTTTAAAACAGGCCTTGTTTATGAAAATTGGCCATTGAAATTGCAGTCCGTTTTTTTTTTTTTTTCTGAATTTTTTTAAATAATTAAAATGCCTTCGAAGTTGTGTACTGTATCATTTAATAAAACTATTAAGAAGTCATCCATCCATCCTATTATCCAAACCTCTATGCCATTATTATCGGATCCTCCTAACCCGGCATCTTGAGCCACAGGTGGAGAAAAACCATGGATGGATGGCCAGTCCATCACAAGGCTCACGCATAGATTTTAAGAATACTTTTTATTGAATTTCTCTTCCTTTGATATAGCAAAAGTGAAAATGAAAGGTGAAAATGTTATAACATATATTCGCATAATCAATGGCACAGTTTAACTCCATGTGTCTCAACTTACCTTCTCCCTCTAATTTACCCCTCACTGGGGGCAAGTTGAGCCAAGAGACCACTTTTTTTGGAAAGCCATATTTTGAAAGTGATTTATTTTAGATCCAAAGTGATTATTCCCAAAGATGCACTATATCCTGAAATTCATGTACATATTTAGGTTGGACCCATGTGCTCACTTTACACACGCAGTAAGTAAAAACTGGCTCAACTCACCCCGCTCTCCTCTCTCTCTCTGTGTGTATGTATATCAAATTCAAGAAAGATCAAGTTTTCAGAATACCGTATTTAAAAGATGATTTTGTCATTTTAATATACATTTATTAATATATTTTAATATATCATTTTATGTATGTATACACACACAACACACCAGTCTCTGTTTGTACGAAAACACATTAATTTACAGAAGCAGGTCAAAGACTTTCACTGTGTGAAATACTTGATGAGGGGTCATATGATGCGATTCGGACGCTCCTTCGTCGAATCCGCCCGCCGCGCCGTTCTCAAGCCCACCGCCGCCGCTCACTCTAGGCCACCGTGTGTTGATGTGAACAATTAATCCGTGCAAGTTAATCCGCTGAAAAAAAATTGTTCATCTTCGTAATCTTTAATCAAAATCTTAACATTTACTTCTGCTCTGGAATGGCATTCTTTTTCTGATGACGTCAGTTTGACGGCTTGGGCAGAATATCCTTTTAAACACACCCCTCCAACCGTTAGATTGCTATGAGTGAGAGACGGAGAGGAGGAGCGCCAAAATAAAACCATGCCCTCGATTCAATATTCCGTTTCAGCTGGAAATACGTCACTACACTGAAATAAAGTCGGCAGCAACTTCCGGTTCACGCGGACTTTAAATAATTTAAAAAAAATCCTACCTGGAACATCTCTGTTTCTCTTTTCTTCGACCTTTGTTTTGGTGCATGCAGACACCAGGATGTATATTGTTTTTGAGGTTAGCTGTCGTCTCACATCGGTGTACTCCCTCAAAGTACGTACTATGACTTTCCTGAAATGGCCATGAAGATTTACAAAAGCCCGCTACATATAAACCTGCATATTGTCATATGACGTTATTTAAATCCATTTACCTTCCTGGAGAATTACAGAAAATCACTTTCCCCTTGCTAGACTGGATCTCATCGATGAACACACAGCTATTCTCCTGGTCCCACTTCACGACTCTGCAGCCCGCGCGACTCTCGACTGTGAATCCACCAGGAGGGCTGTTCACAAACGACTCCAGCTCGATAACGTCCATAACAAAGCCAGAATGTTCTTTCTTTTGTAACTTCTCGAGGACAAATCCGAGTGTTCGTCCAGCGCGTGAGTCGCCCTTCGCTTTGGTTTGGTGGGCGTGGAGCTGGTTTGTAACTCTGTGCATCACAGCCAAATGAGTCAAACTGAGTCATACTGTAGTCCAGTACAGAGCAGTTCAGCATTGTGACGGGAAGTTTGAGTTTTATCACCTGTTATACTGATTTAGCAGGGGTTAAGTGGCCCGGGCGTCCTCATTTTAAACACACTCACACACAGACAAGCAGTGTTTTACATCATGGTAAATGGAGTGAATTAGTTCATCTTTCCTATTAGTCACATTAAAAGTAGGTCATTTAACCTCCAGTAGTGAAATAGCCTTTCCCTGAGGGAACTGTTAATGCAAGAATTTTCAATCGCTACTGTGTCGGAAAAAACTACTTAAACTAGTCCAAGATGGTTTGCAGACTAGTACGATCTTTGGATGGTTTTAGAGAGGTTTGGGTGATTTTTAGGCTAGAATAGGCTACCTTGTTGAACACCAGTTTGGCAAAGCTGTGACAAGCTTAAACAAATGTAAACGAACTATACGCTGTTTTCAGTCCTGTATAACTTGTATTTAAACCAGGGCTGTCCAAACTCGGTCCTGGAGGGCCGGTGTCCTGCAGAGTTTAGCTCCAACTTGCCTCAACACACCTGCCTGGAAGTTTCTATGCCTAGTAAGAGCTTGATTAGCTGGTTCAGGTGTGTTTAATTAGGGTTGGAGCTAAACTCTGCAGAACACCGGCCCTCCAGGACCGAGTTTGGACAGCCCTGATTTAAACCTTTAAAGAAGAATATTGCTAGTTGTTTGAAATTTTTTTAATTAATCGTAATGTCAGCTTTAACATTAGCCATAAAATTCCCATGTTTCCCCACAGAATTAGTTTCCGCTTACTCGGGGTTAGACAAGGATGGTAGCTGGTTTAGCAATTTTCAAGCCGTTCCAAATCCAAAACTGGTTTAAGTGGTTAAACAGACTACAAGAGTGAAATGAGTGATAGGCCATGCTGTTTGTGACCTGGTTAACCACAACCACAACTGATTGACCACATTTTAGACTGTGGTATGACTTAGAATTTCCAATGAAGTATAAAAAAGTTGTTGCAGCAATCTTCCGTTTTTATTTTTAATATGACTTATCCTGGTTTTAACTAAATATTCCAGATGGCCAGATCAAGAAATCTAAACCAAGTGTTAAAATGGTTAATACCTTAGTAGGCCCCCCAAAAAAGAATACTTGAGCACCAAATCAGCATATTGGAATGATTTCTGAAAGATCATGTGACTAAAGACCGGAATAATGAATGACTGATGAAAAATCAGCTTTGCCATCACAGAAATAAATTAAATTTGAAAATATATTAAAAAAAGAAAACAGATTATTGTAATAGTATTTCATGATATTATTGTTTTTACTCGATTTTTGATCAAATAAATGCAGCCCTGTGAGCATGAGACTTGTTTCAAAAAAACATAAAAAATACACTACATGGTAGTGTATACGTATGCAGACATCTATGATAAATCTTAACTTTCACTCATAAAACAAGATCTACAGCCGACACAACAACACTTTCAAAAACGATGCATGAGCGTGAACATCAAAAATCAAAGTCAAACGCAAACCAGACAAGTAACAAAGAGAAGTAAAAAATTTATTGCAGTATTTGTTCCTCCACACATGCTGGGGGTCCCTCGTCCCACTGTGGGGTGTAGAGACCCAAACCCTGACCCAGTACATCAAAATCTAGATTTACAAAAAACCCTCCCTTCCATGTAGGCGACAGATACTGCATGCTCTGCTTTCAACTGAATAAATTATGTCCAGGAGACTCCATTTTACAGCACAAAAGAAGTAGAACATAAAGCAGAGGAGATGTTTAAAAGTTTATTTCCCTGGAAACTGAGCTAAGCTAAAGAAATCCATCCGGTGCTAGGTTAAACTCCAAGGTCACTTTATTAAGAACATCAACAGACTAATTTCCAACATTCACTTTAGGTTTATTTCTTTAAACAGATTTTTTTTTTTCGTCAGAGATATAAACATTTTTTGTTTCTGTTTTGTGTTAAACTATGATACAGTGGAGGGGGGGAAAATTCAAACAACCAAGTTGCTGCACAACAGCGAAGGAGCTCCGTTTCTTTCTTTTCCGTTTAACTTAAAAGATGTACAGGAATCACATCTACATTTCCAAACAGACCAAACTTTTTAAAATCGTCGTTCTTTAATTCGACCAGTTCCTGCCTTGGATCTTAAAACCTGTGAGTCTGTAGTACTCTTTTCTCTCCGACTTAAGTTTACAAAACGTTAAATCCTGATGAAGTTTGGCTGCTGAGAGTCTGTTGGGTGTAACCGTTCCAGAGTTATTACAGATTTAATTAGCTGGAAGTTCCTTCCTTGGCTGCGTACAGTGAACGTAAAGTCTGCACTACTTTGTTGGACAGTTTGTGTGCGCTTGTCAAGGCAATTTTCTTGTAAATAATGTCAGACTCCTTTATAGTGTCCACCCAAGGCACCAGTTTACGTCCGTCGCGTTTCTTGGCCTCTGCCCAGGTGCCGGAGTACGAGCCGGCCATCCAGCGAATGCTGTAGCCTGTGCTTATCTTCTGAATAACGCGCGCTATCTGCGGCCGGTCCTTGTACTTGGGGCAGCAGATAGCGATGACGTCCATGGCTTTTACCGTTTCGTTCATGTGACCTGATGCCTCTGCGGAATCTCCGCCTCTTCTGGATCTCCGTGACGACTAGAAGGGAACAAAAACATGGCGTTTTAAAGTGACGGTAACGTTAGAAATTGAGAGTCGAATGAAAACATCAGCACCGGGGCTTTCTTACCCCAGGAGCCTTTTCGTCCGCATCACTGTCGTCGTCATACGAGTCAGCAGCATTATTCTTGGGGCTGGAGCCTCCTAGTAGAGCAGTGATGGCTTTATTTCTGGCGTGGATACTGGCTGAAGCGTCCCCTTCCTCATCTTCCTCATCTGGGTCCAAGTGCTCCATCAGTACCTTAAACTGTGGAATAAAACATTTAGATAGTCAGTTTGATTCATTTTTGTGAATCAGTTAAAAATGTCCATTTTAATAAATCAATTCAAGACAATTCAATGAGCTGTTTGTGTCAATACTTAAAATGTTCAAGTCTTTTTTTTTTCATTTATTAAAATGTCTTCAATTTTTATTTTAGTATTATTTATATAGTATTATATTAATTAATATGTTGAACTATCTTTTATTTTTATATATCCAGCTTTCATTTTAAATGGAAAAAAAAAATCTATTTAGCCAAATTTTTCTAACCTAAAAAAAGTATTTATTTCAAAAATGTATAATTTATTCTAGCTTTATTTCAGTTAATGGAAATTATTTTAATAGATTGTTTTAGTTAACAATATAAATACTGGCTTTTCCTTTTTTTAATTGTTATAAAGCATATAAAAACACATAATTCATATTTTCATATTATGCATATTAAATTATTAAATCACTCTTCTTTGTCTTTTAATTAATTAATTTGTATTTATTAATGAATTAATAAATTGTCTTTTAAATAATGTTTAATTAAAAACATTAATGATTATTAATACTTAATAAATGGGATGATATTATAATTAATTATTTAAAAAAAATAACATGCCTTGATTATTTGCCTAGGGGGAAAAAAACAACAAAACTTAAAAAAAAAAAAAAAAATTAAATAAAGAAAAAAAGAAATTACAGCTTTAAACAATTTTCAAGTTATTTTAGAGCAAATAAATAAATTAAAAAATAAACAGAGATGATAAAAAGACTGAAAAAAAGTATAAAAAAAAAATAATTTTTATATATTTTTATTTGTATTAAAAGATTTTTTAAAGGGTTAGTTCACCCAAAAATGAAAATTAGCCCATAAATTACTCACCCTCAAGCCATCCTAGGTGTATATAATATGGTTTTGAATATGGATATTTTTCTTACAAAAATGCATCGATTCGCTACAGGAGGCCTTTGTTCACCCCCCGGAGCCGTGTGAGACACTTTTTTTTTTTATGGATGGGTGCTTTTTATTTAACTTGTTTTGGACTGATGCATGCAACACCCGCTGAGTGGCATTAAACAGCTTGAAAGATCAAAGACATTTTTTAATATAACTCTGACTGGATTCGTCTGAAAGAAGAAAGTCATATACACCTAGGATAACTTGAGGGCGAGTAATTTATGGGCCAATATTCATTTTTGGGTGAACTAACCCTTTAATGAAAAAAAATCTAAAACTCATTTAGCCTTTCTAAACAGCACATTATTATGAATCAAAACAAATAAAAAAGAAAATCAGAACGTTTACATCTAAATACTGTCTGACGACTCTCCTCTTGACATCGTAAGTTAGATCTGCATTGGACAGGTTGTTCATCAGGTAGTCCAGTGTCTGCCGTGGGTTAAAATGCACATTGGCCTTCCTGTTTACAGCCTTATCATAAACCTTTGCAGATTCCGTAGGCGAGTACTTCTGAATTTTACTGCAGGAAGAGACAAAGAGGCATTTGTTATGGAGCCAGTGACCATTAACACATTACATCGGTTATGTCAGACCAGAATGCGTTTGGACCAGTGGGTAAAGCTCACCTGTCAGAGAAGCCGTAGAGGTTCTTAAGGTGCTGCTTGAGCATCAGGAGCAGCAAGATGCCCTGAGAGGCATTGGCAAAATCCAGTAAGGGCTCGGGGTTGTCAGGTAGACGCTGCATGACCTTGTCTACGTCCTCCAAGTCGAGGTCTGAATCGGAGTCAGAGTTCACTGCAGCAGATCGTCTGGGTTTCTTGGGCCGACGGATGACATCATCGCTGCTATCACTGCTGCTTCCTCTGCTACTCTCATCCTCTTCCTCAGAGCCATATTTTTTCCCTCGTTTTTTCTTCTTTTCCCGTGGTCTAGGCTCTTTTAGCAAAGACTGTAATACAAGGCAAGATTGTTAGAAAACTGAATGTCAGCTCTCAAAAAAAAAAGGGTGGTGCAACCCTGTTATCAAAATTGACTCATTTTAAAAGCTGTTATTATTCATTAATAAAATAAATACTAATTTTAACAATAAAATTAAAAGTACTAAAAATCATATTTGTTAAATGAAATCAA